ATTGAAGGCGGCAAAATAAATAATATAATTATCCTCATTTGGCGCCCTACGGCCCATGCAGCTATTTCCAGAAGACAGATATTTTGAGTCGGACGACTCATTTTGACGTTTGGAACACTCACACACAGAATCTATTTGCAGATACCACTTGACGTTGACCCTTACGACATGTAACCTCTCTATTGTATATCCACGCCAGGAAAAAGCGAGAAAACCCCATGGTTACACGAGCGTGCTTTCGTCACCTCACAACAACAATAGCACTGCCAGGCATAGTGGTGTGTGGGGTTTTCTGGATTCGGACCAGCTTTATCCCTTCTCAAGGGGGAATATTCTCAACGCCTGTCAGCGGTGTCCCTTACGAACCTCCAGCTCTCACTGTAGAGTCTGCAGAGCCGAGACTGAGTAACAAAGTCCTCAGTTCGACGAGGATTCCAGATTGTTTTTGCGGTCTGTATCGTCTTCATCCCTAAGCACATCCCCTATCACCATTATTATAAAGCTAACCACCATCAGATGAGATGATAGAGCCGAAGCCCTACTCGTCACCCACCCTTGATCATGGAGGAAAAGCCATCCGATGAGGTTTCGTATTGTACCCAGCACCGATACGGAGATGGTGGATTGGATCAAGTCTGCTTCGAATGTTACAAAGAAGGGAGATATAAATGAATATACGCACCTCATGTTGTTCCAGTGTCTGGGCCTCGCCTGGCTGGGCCTGCAGGTTTTTTGATACTTTTTTCTTGCGCACGCAGTTTCCATCGCTACCATTTTTATTTAATTTGGGCAGAAGGCTCCAGGGAAAATGTGGCTGAATTCCACAAGTAAATACTTAGCTGAATGTTTATCCATCATGGGCAATATATCAATGATCTTCGAAGTAACAAAAGAGGATAGGAGCACTGTACAAGGTGTGGCCTGGGTCAGAGAGGAGCCCAATGTGCTAGATAGTCATAGACTCAAGTAGTACAATAATACACACCTCCCTCTCGAGTACAGGCGACACTATAAACACCGCCTTGGTTGGATGGTGCGGTGGTACATCGTCTTAGCCGGTCTGCCATGTAGAGTCTGGATAGCTCGGACACATATCCCACTTGAGACAGTAGATCGCTGGTTCAAATCCGGCAAAACACGACCTCATTTCTCGCGGCGCTTCTTTGCATGGATTACGAAGGCATGCTTGGATAACCAAAGGTTTTGAAACGTTCCTTTGGTGGGTACTTACGGAAGAGAGTCGACTGTTTGTGTAAGCAAGCATACCTCGTAGTGGTATTTGCGAATGTAATCCAGAGTATGAGTGTCTCCAAAGTCAAAAGAGTCATCCAACATGTATACATAGCATCGGTCATGCCTCATAGCTAGATAGCTGAATACTCATTGATTGATTTTTAAAAAAATAAAAAAGAAGTGCACATCCCCGGTTATGTCTTCCCACTTTGTAACATTAGAAGACAGCCTTATCTAATCCACAATCACAAGAAAACAATATTAGACTCCAAGTTTCACAGATGATGCAAAGATCGTGTGTGAGAAATCTTTTTCCCCTTCAAATTTCTCATGGAAAGAAAATTGACGTCCTTCCTACCCTGAGGCTGGGAGTTTTTATGCCTCGGGTAGCGCCCAATTCCTGTAGCTTTTACAGAGGTGACATTTGGAACAGTTAGTTTCGCTATGTTGTTACTCCTCTAAAGCACTGACTGATGAACATCTGAAGGCGTTGAGCTGTCGAGAAACTTCTCCAGGAAACTCTAGCTACACGACTACTTTCAAACACCAGGAATAATGCTGAATAGATGACAATCTTCCTGAAGCGTTTTTTGAGACTGTCCAGCCATGTAAGTCGGGCCTGTGTACCCAAGAGTGGCCTCTTTTACTGCTAACCAAAGCCTCACTCCTTTCCCATCATGTCACAATGAAGACAAAAGGTCGTAATGGGACGTCGGAAGCCTTGTTCATGTACAATTACGGTAAAAGAGCCGAATCAAACATGCAAAAGTTGGTAGTGGTGTGGGAGTTTCAGATAATTCGTGCAATTCATGACCAATTCAACAAAAGTTGAATATAATCATAGACAGCGCTATCGGAGAGGTCAACATTTTGCTTTCAAATGGCGAGAGAGATTGTTACCCTGCTTTCATAAACTTAATGTTCGCAAACTAGTAGAAGGCATATATTGGTATTTGACAGAGGGTCTATATTACTGCTGGTATAGAGTTCGAGGCTACAAAATATCTGCTATAGCCTAACATTATTATTCTCCTCCTACAAGTCACCGGAGACATATCTTTAAGAAGCGAATAGCTCAACTCGTAAAGACTTGCGACACACTGTTGGTGGCACTCGATGACTACAGTTTCTAGCATATGCTTGAATACTGGTATAAATTGTTGTCTATTGGTTGTGTCTATTCTTTCTACATGATGAGGGATCCATATCAGTATTCACGTAGGTGCCCGTGCGCGTCCCGCTTAGCCTTACTGCCTAAGGCATCAACATTGCATGGGCTACTATGGATCCAAACACATACTTTAAAGTGACTGCTAAGAGACGTTCGGTCCTCGTATAAAATTTTCCCTGCTATCCAACGTAACACGTCTCCTAGAGCAGAGCTCTTGCATGTCGTGAAGTATCAAATGAGAGGGTTAATTCTGTATGATGAAAAGTAACAAATCGTTAGACTCTATTCTCGAACTTTCGCCTTATCCTAATCACAGATACAGTCAGAAACAGCCAGCGAAGTATTAAGGGATATACCGAGAGTTGTGACCATGTAGCTAATGGTATCAGATTCCAACTTGGTATGTGTTCCTGTAGGTACTGAGACAAAATGTTAGATTAGGAGATTGTGCATGGATCACATAGTAATATGGCAAAGAAACAGATTTCAAGATTGTCAATACTGGTACAATAGGGATGTTGTGGGTATGAGTATCATCAAGGATTGAATGGAAACAAGAGTGCTTGTTGATTTGGAAGAGTTGAAACTTGGAGATGGTTGGATTGAAAGAGGTAGATATCAAGTCGAATGATGAAGCAAAACCTTGTTTGAAACTGCTAGTCATGCCGCAAGGGAGCTATAGTTAATATGTAATTGTTGGGGCCGACACAGTCTTATTTGTGGGATCGGGCCTATGTGATAATACGGGTTTGCAGCAGACTCTTATCCACGTAGACATCTGGGCACCTTGCTGTGTCTAGCTCCGTACATCACAGCAAGGCGGTTCCCTTGGGCCGGGATTTGTTTGATAGTGTAGGGGATGACAAGAGGCCTCATGAAATGTTATGCCTGGCATAGGCGAGTGACCATACTGTTTTCGAATGCGGGGATACGATCTAGCTTGTTTAAGCCTAGATGACCAGGAGTAGCATGACACGGAGCCTTGTGCACCAGTGCTGGATGAGGCTTTTAAATGATATCCAATTGCCTTTCTCCGTTTCGTGCAGCCTGGTCACGCGGTCTTGCTAGAGGAGAATTGGCAGGCGTGGATTTGACGAGGCTCAAACTCCGTATCTACTATCCGTCTATCCTGCAAATATATTCAGAGGGCAAAGATGACCGCTTACCCTCTAGGGAAACATAGTGTGCCTAGAGTTTTCTGGGTGGGAATTGCCTGTTTGGGATGTTAGGCCCTCCCTATAGCTGGAGGCAGAGGCGGAACATATATTCCTCAAGGTTAGGTAGAATAGGAGTGCATCTCCTCCAAGATTCAGAACACACGCGTCTTAAAATGAAGCTATGCGAGATTGGGCAAATTTGGGAGATGAGGTGCGTTTTCAGGGAAATTCAAACGAGTACGAGAAACATTGGTTAACTGAGACCTAGGCCCTTGCTACACCATAACCGAAGGCATATCTGCCGAGCCAGATTGGGCCCGTAATCGACACAATGAACCGCATTGCCAAGGATCCACATAACGGGTCCCACAACTATGCTGCATGCCAAGCACCTGGAGATAAACTGCAAAACGCACAGTAAGCCAGAATTATGTGAGCCTTTAGCAAGTGGCCCTCACGAGCGCAGCCTTGACCAGAATAGTCGATATGACGTCGATTGCGTAAGGCCACGGATTATCATCATTGTGCGGTCGACGTAGGAGATTTAGGCAACTATGGATGGCAGGTGAGGGTAGAGCACCTATATGTCATAAATAGTCTTCGAGTGAAGACGGCAATTGCAACGTAAAACTGCTGAATCTCTGTGCTCCCTTGATGCTACCCGCTTCACTTGAGTGTACCGCGTTGCTGACTCGAGCGACTCCTACTTCTGTCATCCGCGCTACACCTCACCTGCTTGTCAGGAGTAGCTTTAGTACATACCCGCGACGGGAGTCGTTAGCCCCACCCTCCGCACAAATGGTAGCGAGAGAGCAGCTATGCAAGGGCAGTTGGAGTTGAAGCCATAGGCCCCGGCCCTAATACCAAGCAGCTACTGGTTATCGTCGCTGCTACAAATCAGTCAGTCAGTGGTGAATTGTGTGCTCCCGTCACCTATTCGTGATTTATCAGCTGGTGTCATGGGGTCTAGTATCAGCAGCTGCCGGAGTAAATCATCTGCTCCCATACGCCAGTTCCTGCCAATATTCGGTATTGCTCTTCTTTTTCTCTACTCTTTGCCTTTCTGTACCCTCTTCGCTAACCTCCCCCTCCTTTCTCTTCTTGCTCCCACATTACCCACTTGATCCCAGGCTGTCACTTCTTCCTTACATCCACTCTTTATTTCGCAACCACCGAGATATCCATCTGATAAGCCTGGACCCTTATCCGCAACACCTGAGCTTCATTCTTAACACAGATACCAACTAGTCTGATAGATCCTTCTTCCACTAAAGTCTAAGTCCACTCCCGAGCAACCTCAAGTCTATAGCAAGGAACCTACGGCAACTCTCGACAGCAATGTAATCGTCTCAACATCTTTCACTCGACCAAGGCGACGCATCCTCGCTGCTTCTCATCCAGTGTCCGTGGAGACGCAAGGGCATTAGCAGAAGTGTGCTATGTCCCTTTACTCTGAGCCTCCTTCAGCTCGCTCCTTTCGAGACGATAAGCCAACATTGCTGGTCTGTTGGTGGTGCACAATCTTCGCAATGGTTATAATTTTATTCCGCGTATGTGGGCGCTATGTGCGAACGGAAAAACTTTTTCGGGAAGACTGGATAGCCTTTTCATGCATTATTCCATTATTATTTAGAATGGCTTTTGTCCATGTCGTCTTACTCTATGGGACCAACAACACCACCGTTTCGGATATTTCTGAACAAGATATTTATCGGAGATCTCTGGGCAGCAAGTTCGTCCTAGTTTCTCGGTTTTTTTATGCCGCCACGTAATCTCCCGACGCCCAAGCATAACGCACTCAAACTAACAATATGCACCAGGCTTTGGACCCTCAAGTTGACTATCAGCGAGTTTTTCAAACGACTCACATGGAGCATCACGACTTTTTCTCATGACTTTTTCCTAAGGAGTATTCGTTGGCTTCTCCTGATAACGTTCGTTATTGTCATCATCGCCGACGTGAGCGAATGTAGATCATTTTCAGGCTACTGGCAAGTCATCCCTGATCCCGGACCTCAATGTCGACAGGGCTACGCCCAGCTTTTGTCAATGGGCACCTGTAACATTATCACCGACTTACTCCTAGTTATCTTCCCTATCCCGATAATCATTAAATCCAAAATGAAGTTCAAGCGAAAACTGCAGCTCGTCTTACTCTTCTCCATGTCACTTTTACCCGTTGCCACCACCCTTTATCGCCTACCTCACATTATAGATCGACGTGGAAGCCAACAATATAGATCCTTACTCGCTTCGGTCGAAATCCTTTTCGCAACAGCTGTTGCGAATGCATTAGTGCTTGGTTCGTTTGTTAGAGATAGAGGGGTAAAAAAGCCAAGATTCAAGCTTGGATCAACCAGTGAAAGTGTTGAACGAGCCGGGAGCTTCCGAGGTCATATTACCCGGCAATGGGGAAGCGATGAAGATCTAGTGAGAGACATGGGTCTCAGTATGGATCCCCAGCTACGAGAAAAACTGGCTACCCGTCGATCCAAACCTGGTAAGGCTTGTCTTAAGGCTCACAGAATCATGGGGAACGACTGGGAATGTTCTGAGGAATCCAGAGATACGAGAAATGAGCTGGTCACTATTAAGGTTGAACAACCTAATAACTCTTCACTTAGCCCATTTTGCGTGATAACTCCCAGAAGAGTGTCATTCTTTGATGTCGGTGGCTTGTTAGATGATGACCAGCCTAAGAGACTCCGCCAAACATCAGAGTACCCAGATAAAGAAGTTGTGAAGCTAGATCAAGACTTATCGCCACTTAAAGATGAGAATGTTACTTCTAGTTGCCCTCGCACCATTTCTCCGGCATTCCTTCGAGATGCTGGCAGCTCGCCAAGATACCGTAATGAAAAATATCGCTGAAATGAGAGTTTTGAGGTATGCGAATTACAACGACGCACGAAGCTTGTTTTCAAGTGATCCAGCGAAGTTTACACTAAACTTCAATGAGCGAATGTTACGAAAACCATAAACTGGGCAAATTGATAACAATTTTTTGTCCCGAAAAAAGATCGCCAGAAAAGACCTCGTTCAAATCAAGTTTCTCGGCACTAAATATGATTAAAATCAACATCCGCATCAGGCAATTAAAATTACTGGAAATTCAAATAACGGGTACTTTGAACAGGCTAAACCCTCTGGATGTCTACACTCAATACCAACGTCAGTATATTACGACGGTGATTTAGTTGCACTTAATTTATTTAAGGCGTAACACCAAATGCTCTCCGGAACCGTGAAATTTAGATACTCGACTTTCTATTCTAAAGATAGTCGCTGGATGGTTTATAATCATCCCGAATAGCTTGACTTAGTACAAGTGCAAATTCTATTCAACTTGGTTAGATACAACGGACAGTCTCGCCATCGTCTAGCCTGTATAGCTTTAGGCGCTAAAATGTGCTTGCTAACATATCAGTTATGTATGTCTTTGAACAAAAAGAGGAGGCTTTGCGGCAAAGAAAAATCACCTATTCTTCTTCAAGGTAATTAAACTAGTGGAAGCAAAAATTTCAGAGAATAAGTTAAAAACCATTCGATCTGCAAATTATTCATCCGTAGCGCTTTGAAAGAGTATGGTACACAATTTACTTATCGACTTTAATTTATTAGACGGCCTCGTTAGAATCTAATAAATGAATAAGAGAATTCAGGCCACCCAATTCATCAGGATATGCAAAACAATTGCGGGTGGTAATTTTGTTACTGCAGGATAACAGGGCGCCTACTTGTCCATCAACGCTTCCGCTGAAAGTAACTCAGATGGACCTTATTACCTTCAAACTCGTGGTATAAATCGGAGTAGTTCTAGATAGTTCTATTCAGTCGAAAAAACTATCTATTCTAGAAACTACAATATGTACGTCAATTTCTAAATACCTAAATGTACTGTCTACTAAACCTACCAAGGCTTATATTCTTCGTCTATTTTAGATGCAGGATGCGTACTATTTATTGGTAAAATTGTTGTAATATCATATTGGCTAGTGTTTTATTTATTATACTGCTTGAGTCTACGACTATCTAGCACATTGGACTCCTCTCTGACCCAGGCCACTCCTTGTACAGTGCTCCTTGCCTCTTTTTTTACTTGAAAGATCATTGATATATTGCCCGTGGTGAATAGCTATTCAGCTTAGTGTTTACCCTTGGATTTCGGCCACCTTTTCCACGGAACCTTTGATAGCAATGTGCGCGTGTTTTTGTTATACTGCTTGAGTCTCCGACTATATAGCATATTGGAATCCTCTCAGACCCAGTCAACACCTTGTACAGTGCTCCTTGCCTCTTATGTTACTTCGAAGATCATTGATATATTGCCCATGATGGATAGACATTCAGCTAAGTATTTACTTGTGGAATTCGGCCACCTTTTCCACGGAACCTTCTACCCAAAAAAAATAAAAATGGTAGCAATGGAAACTGCGTGCGCGGGAAAAAGTCTCAAAAAACCTGCAGCCCCAGCCAGGCGAGGCCTAGACACCGGGACCACATGAGGTGCGCATATTCATCTATATCTCCCTTCTTTGTAACAGTCGAGGTCGACTTGATCCAATCCACCATCTCCGTATCGGGTGCTGGGTACGCTCCGGAAACTCATCGGATGGCTTTTCCTCCGTGATCAAGGTTTGGTGATGAGTAGAGCTCCGACCCTACCATCTGATCTGATCGTGGTTAGCTTCATGATAATGGTGATAGGGGAATGTGTTGAGAGATGAAGACGATACAGACAGCAAAAACAATCTGGAATCCTCGTCGAACTGAGGACTTTGTTACTCAGTCTCGGCTCTAGAGACTCTACAGTGAGAGCTAGAGGTTTGCAGGGGACACTACTGACAGGTGTTGAGAATAGTTCCCCCGTAATTACATATTGATTGTCTTGCATATCGATATTAATCTGCCATTATTCCGAAAACTCTCAGGGGGTTCTGGTGCAGCAGAGATCATAAAAATTCCAATTCACAAACCATCAATATTTTCTGAGATGTAAGGGCTGATATTTGCAATCCATGGCTTTGCCGCATGTATCCTTAGTAAAAATCAGCCAGATGGCTTATCTATCCTTCAATTCCTCTTGAAAGCTAGCAGAGCTCTGGGTTTATGACTGGATGGCGCCACGATTAGATGAGACTTTTGGTAGAAGTACAACACTCAGTCGCCGAGGAAATGATGGTCTGTAATATTCACTCACATCCCCCACTAGCATAGCACAATCCGAGGAGTGTTGGGAGAGAACTGTTCAATTGTTCTCAGGTAGGTCGAAGGTTCATGGGTGAAGGCAGGTAGTTGCATTGTTGTAAATAAGCTATCTCGCTGAACTAGTGATCGGTTCGCGCTGTGACCACATTGTCGGCCCTCTGGTGCCATCGGTTGTAAGGAGTGTGCAAGACTCTGCTCGCCGTCCCGCGCACGTTTATGTGGTGGGATTCATTGGCTGCCTGTAGTGATTTTGCCAGTCTCAACTTTGCGTGTGTATCAGAGGGAAACCTGCACGTTTGGCCGAAGAGTCACAAAAATGTGCTCGCCATCTCCTCCATTGGGCGGGGCAGGAGTCGAAACTGCTCATGCCCAGCACGGGTGAGTCACTATTGCGCCATACAGCCATGTCAGACTGTCGCGTCGCCTGCCCTCAGTCAGTTGAATTCTTGGCGCGCATACGCCTGCTCCAAGTTGCAAATGCTGGGCCAAAACGATGATCAGCTCGCTGTGCGCAGAAGGATTTCCACCCTTCGCACCATCGACGGAACAATGATGCGTGTCAGAATGAGCCGACAGCTTCTCGAGTAAAACCGTTCTATCCCGCGTCGCCCGGCCGCAAATACGATGCTGTCGGACCTACGTCACGGCAATCGTTCGAGTCGAGCTTAATCTAGGCATCAGTGTGGTATGGGTCATGGCGCGATAGTGGGGGTGTGTGTCCTCCCTACATGGCGGGCCTAGATACAAAGCCTCTGGAATGGCCCTCTAATTGGGGCAATGAAGAGATGTAGGGGGTTACAAACATTTGAAGTAGGAGATGGCTGGATCGATTCCTGTTGGACCTAATCACGCTTGTTGCGGTGCTGGCGTGCTTGGATGATCAAAAGTTTTGAATTTCGCTTTGGTGGGTAGTTACGTAGGGCCGACAGTTGTAAGCAAGCAAGCCAGCCTCGTAAAGGTATTTACAAATGAGATACAGGGTATGAGTGTTTCTGGGTCATGCAACATGTGTACAGAGCATTGATCATATGTCACGGCTGATGCATTAAACGACAAAAAATAGGGCTTGTAAATTGAAAGCAACTTTATATCTATTGGATAACCACTCTCAGATACTTTGAAGCATGTGTCTCCATCTTCACGGCATTTTGACGCCGTTGACCTGCTGCGATTTCTCTGCCGTCATTTGCTCCAGCCAAGTGATGGGCGCCAGAAGCAGAGCTCCCACAACACAGGCGTACGAGACGAGTAGTTGCAGGAAGAAGACGAGCGTGGAGTAACCGGGCCCAAAGAAGCGCACCAACTCCGTCGACTGATAGAGATCCTCCTGCGTCACTATGTAGTATTTGCCGGCGGGGCCGTCTCGTTGGAGCTGTAGCTTGACGGTGAGGTGCGAGCTGGCGTGGTAGAAAGGGAGGAAGACGGGCGAGAAGATTTGCTGCACCTCGCAGTAGAGGTGGGCAGCCTTGTCATCGTAGACTAGGCGCGCGTTAGCGGGCTCAAGGACGAAGCCAGTAACCTACCAACCCGCTGCACCTGCAGTGAGACGCGCGGCGACAGAATTTTGTACCAGCGATAGATCATGCCGATGACCCAGCGCGAGTCGACGAGCCCGAGCAGCGGCAGCGGCAGGTCGCGGAAGCGCGGCACGCGGCACAAGGGGTGGATGAGGCCGGCATCGGGCAAGAAGTAGCGCTGCAGGGCCAGCTCCTGGTCGCGCGGCGCGCCCTCGGTGAGCTGGAGGATGACATTGGCGATTTCGAGATCTCAACAAGTCAGCGTTAGCTGGCACTGACGAAGGCCGGAGTGGGAATCAAGGGCTCACCTGGCTTCTCCATGATGTCGATGCGTACGGGGAGGAGCGGCGATGTGGATGCTGGGTAAAGGGGGAGCGAGGGATCTGCCCATTGAAGTAGCAGCGCGCGACTAGGTTGCGCGGCAGATCACGTCTAGCTGCAAGCGCAGCCTGGCCTATTCCAGACCTCACGAGACGGGACGATGGAGAGAGAGGCGCCGCGGAAATTCCGCGTCGTTGACCTCGACACGGAAGGCCCGCTGGACCCGGTGGGCCGGGGTGGAAGGGTTGCACAGATAGCAGCGCCTGCCGCTGTAGAGGTAGAGGAAGAGTGCAAGAGATGGCTTTAATCATTTACTTTGCCCTAATTCGCGACACTATAGAGGAAATAACTATCCGCTGTCTGTCCCATCGCAGCCAACGACGCCCGTCTTGGCCGGTTTATTCCACAAACCCATGACACCCACCTCCTAAAATAGCAGTTCTAAGCAGCAACAACACGCACACGCAGCCAATAACCCATCAGCGAAACCCGGATTGGAGCCGCCGGCGCCCCGTCGATTGTCGACATACTGTCCTGGTGGCATGGGTCCCGCATTGTAGGCGCCATAGGGAGGCTGGCCGTAGGCGCCCGGTGGAGGCCCATAGTATCCCCCTGGGGGCGGAGGCGGAGGCTGAGGCATGTAGCCCATTTGTGGTTGTGGTCCTGGCGCCATATAGGGCCCCGTGTTCATCGGTGGTGCTTGGTTTAGAATGGGCCCATCTCCCTTTTGCGGTGGCGGTCCAGCCGGCGGGGCCGCAGATGAGACATTGTAATCAGATGGTGTATAACCGGGTGGAGGAGGGCCCGGAGGCGGCTCGAAAACTGGTGCTGGTTTCTGAGACATTCGTGTCGTGCCAAGTTTCGATGCTCAGCCGTAGGAGAATTAGGCTTGCCAAATCTACTGCTGCCCTGGCGCTTGGTTGATCTGATTAATTAATGCCGCCGTCGAGCTACTGTCCGCTCGAGCGCTGCAGCTAGTATCCGTAGAAGGAATAAATGATCGGAGTGGCGAAGAGTGAGCTCAAATTATTATGCAAAGGGTCTTTTGAGTTAGCGGCTTGTTTGATGGCAGCGCGTGCGCTGTCGGCAATGAAGGGAATAGCTTGACTGAATTAATCGTTTAAATTAAGTATGAGGAAAGAAATGGCTGAGAAGATTGAGAATAGCGATGAGTGGGAGGGGAAAAGCATAACCAAATATGATTAGAGCCCGGCAGGATAGTCAGGGGTCTGCACGTAAGATGGCGCGTCAGGTCTCGACGCTGATGGAGACAGAAACACCCTCATCGGCGCCGTGTCTCGGCCACTCCTACCGATGGCCTTACGCGCTTCAAGCGGTACGGCCGGGGGGATCACGGGGAAAGGTGTGGTAGGCAAGTTGATGCGTCGCACGTGGAATGTTTCATGAGAATGCGCTTTCCTACATCCCCTGCACGGCCCTTAAATCTAATAATATCTACAAAAAAATGTAACTCATCATGCCATCCACCTGCCCCACAGTAAAAGGCGTCTAGAGGCTGTTGTTTGCTTCTCGTCAGTGATCGATCAATGCCATCGGCCATAGGTTTCGTCCACTCCTCAGTTGCGTGTCCCTCAAAGACTAGTCCCCCCCGTCTCTGAGTGATCTCTGAAACGCTGAAGCCGCCACCAATGCATCCATCGCAGAACTGTGGGTTCCCGCAGTCGCCGGAGGCATAAATGGGCCTGCCCAGTTGATACCAAGTTGGTTGTCTTCATTTCTGTTGTTGTTCCATATGCTTCTCGCATTGGTCGTGATAAAGGCAAGATAGTTGTTGTCTGGCGCCGTCTCCTGTAACATTTTCAAGTTGCGCATGAACACACCCTTAAACTGAGACCCATCATCGCCACAGTGGGGCTCGCATGGGTCGTGAAGGACCCCTTGATGATCGGACAGTGTTGTGATGGCCGCCGTTGCAATTTTTTTAGCATTAACTAGATACGATTCGTCGGAAGAGCCTTTGCTAAGCTCTACGAGTCCCCCAATTACTACGGCCTGATTATATGACCATATCGTGCCATTATTATTGCGGCATGTGGAAGTCAGCCCGTCGTTGACTGTCGAGTCTGCGTTAATCATGCCAGACTTCTGAAACCAGCTCCATTGGTCTTCCGCGATCTGCCTGTACTCTCTCCGTTCGCGCCCTTGCACTCGGTTGGATAGGTGCGCAGCAACGCTCAAATAGAGTTCATTCGCTATAGCGTTAACGTAGCTCTGGGCTCTATCCCACCAAATACCTCCACATGGTGTCGTGGAAGCTTTCTTCATGTCGTTGAATATATCCACAGCTGCCGAGAGGTACTCGTGCCTTCCAGTAATATCGTATGCCTGTATCCAGCTCAACGCCCACCAACCCTCATCGTCGTAGAAGCCATTGATAAATCCATTGGGATTGTGTCGAGGCCGACTCGATATACCTTTGTGAACGGTTTGAATCATAAAGTCGGGCATGACAACCTTCATCGCTCCCTCATTGTACTGCGGAGCCTGCTTTAAGGTGTTCTCAAACACCTGAAAAACATCATGATTAACTCTGGGCTCGATTGCGGCGAGATTTCCAATTGTCGTCATACAATTAGCACTATTCCACCAGCCAGTGCTATCCCATAAACCAGTCGATGAGTTGTACCATCCTCCCAGCGCGGTGGTGGCTAGCCGCGAATCCGTGGTAAATTCTGATGAAGGAGCGGCAAGACACAGCCGCACTGCGGCCGAAAGAAGTAGAAATGGAGTCAACATAACGAACGATACATCAGCAAAACATGAGACGAATGAAGGAGAATGAAATGATAAACATCTTATAAGGGGGGAAGGGAACGGTCTTACGTTAATGGAAATCTTCGGGAACTTTTCAATCGCATCTTCATTTCATTTATCCAAACAAGGCAAGATTGGCTTCATTGCCTCATCCACGCATTGATGGGCTGGTGATGGCAAAAGCAACGCAGCCAGGTACACGTATATTGGGGGTCAGGATTTGGTCCTGCATGGCGAGGCTGAAGTTTAGGCTGACAAGCCCTGGCCTGTTGCGAGGGGGCTCCCTTCTTGCCACAAAGGCAAAATTGATTCCTTTCAAGAGACCAATGTCTAAGAAAATGTCCTGTTTAGTTCAGAATTTCTACAAGTTATTGTTGTACAACTGGGGAATCGAATGTCTGGACTGCGTACCAGCCCTGACTTGATAATTTGTGGTGTTGAGAATGAAGGAAAATGGATGTAGATCAAGAGAATTGATGCTTAGGATGGACATGTCCGAGTCGCACACATTGCGGAAACCAGCAAATTACAGAAACTCATAGCGCACAGCGCAAACATACTACAATAGACGGAGAATCGATAAACATACCAGATTTAGATCAAAATATTTGGTATCATTCGGCGATATTTTAAAATCTTCGTGCTCTACCTGCGCACCAGATGATGGCTGATTCATGTGATCAATTAGGATTAGCTGATTTTGTCGTTAATGGCCACGTGCACACACCAGGTCTGTTCACTTGAATAATAAGGTCATTTAACTTTATGCAACTATGACGCATCAAATAACTTCTTTGAGTTCAGAGACTCTTAGACTCTGGATATCATTCGCAAGTACCACTATCAATTATGTCACTATGCACAGGACAATCGACCCTCGTCAGTGAGTACCCACCAAAGGAACGTTTCAAAACCTTTGGTTATCCAGGCAAGCCTTCGTCGTTTCATCAAAGATCACTGCACTAACAATGATCGTGTTTTGCTACACTCAAACAAATGATATCCGAAGTCCTGTTAGACAGGTGTCCAAACTATCCAAAATCAACAAGAGAGGTCGGCCCGGATGATCTACTCCCGCACTGATTAGCTCCCTTCCCTCGTGGCTAGCTTGCCGCTGCTCATTTTTGTTATCTCCACGACATATTCTCGATCGGAGGAGGAAGCCAAACATCTGTCAGCGCTATGTACTACAAGAATGAAAAAGACAGAAGTCCTGTGAGCCTTGCCTACGAACCTGGAAGTGAAATATTCTCCCAGAGCCAAGTTCAGTCATATTTCATAATACCAAAGAAGTTGATCCTCGAAGCAATAGTTCGACACACTCCACCGTATAAATCTCTCACTCCTAGCGAGATTGATCTCGACCAAAACCTCATCAAGTCTACAGGTACGACCTAGTGCATCCTCATTTCAATGACCACGCCTCTTGTCGACTATTCTCTGGCCTCAACTGACCACTAAATAAATGCCCCGCCGATCTTTACAGCCACAGGAGGACAAAATTCGTGTTGCAAAAATCTGGATACAGCTCTTTGGGACGGACGTGAGAGAAATCAGGACAAGTTTACAAGATGATACCAGGCTAGGATATAATCTTGGAGAGAAGATGTAAGAATCGAAAAGCATTGTACGTGCCAAGACTTCGAATGCGGGAGTGTAGCTGACACCATAAGAACAAGCCAACGATGAAAGTTACCGGGGTTTGCCTCGTTGCGGTGGTCTCTGGTATGGTTTGAGTAGCCTGGGAACCTACTTCACTTGGGATGGGGAAGCCTCAGATCATATTTCGCGTGGAGACAAGTCATTGGACGATGGAGGCATGTGTGGATAACTCTGGGGGTTATGAGACGTTTCCCTGGGTGGGTATTCACAGAAGAGGGCTGACTTGAGGCGAAGAAAGAGCCACCATAACTTCATAGCGGTCATTGCGAATGAAAACCGAGGCATGAATGCTCTTCTTTCAAATTGAGAAACCTTTTGTGTACTCTTTCTCTGATATTGTGTCATCACTAGATAGTATTATACGCGAATAATCCCGATGGAAGAAAAAGATATCTACTGCTAGTCTGGGGATGGGGTAGTCAGAGCCGAGTTTATCTCCAACAAGAGTGTTTCTTAGGGTTTCAATTAAATCCAACCAGCAGAGAGCGTAAAACTGCGCAAACCAGCAAAATCAATCATCTACACTCCAAATGCTAGCTATATATAGTCTCAAACTCATACGATATTGCGTTGAAAGCAACCGAGAGAATTCCCCGCCTCGAACTTTCTTGCCAAATTTCCCATCTAGACTCATCTCCTAACTCCGCAAATACCTGCACGCTCAACGAAGCCCTCGAAGGTTCATTCTGTCAGAATCATCGTCAAAGACGATAGAGAATCCTGCCCTCTTCGACTAACACGTCCACGGACGTATGGTGAGACTACTGGCTTGGAATACTTCTACTCCTGATCGAAGGGTAATAACTTCATCTGTGGCGTACCACCATAGACGAAGTTGGTATAATATTTCGCACAAGAATCCAGCAGAATAACTTATACCGTTTAGGGTATTGATACCTCAGTCTTGAGCTCTTAAATACGTGTTAGACCTACAAGGTGCAATACCGGGGGGACGGAGAACATTCAAATTTTAAGATTAAATTATTAGTTGAGACGAAGGAAAGTTACAATAATGCCCCCAATAGGCTTTAAAACGTATACGGCAGCTGATGAAGATACTGACTTTCGGATGAAACGAGGTAAAGCTTGGATCATGCGGAAGAGAAATAAGAAAGATTTAAATGGTATCAAGCGCTCGAACTTATAGTGTTTGCCGCTGAAGAGCAATTTACGTTTCAGCGCACTACTGTAAGATTATTTAGACGGTCGGACTTCACGAGATTTGTCACCTGTGTGAAGACTGAGATCTTTGTATATAATGGTAGTTGGCTTGAAACAGTTCAGCCCCATCAGCTCTCAGGCTCTTAAAGCAGTGTGGAGAGTTCTTAAAGCCAAGTAGCTAATTATCCAAAAACTGAAGGAGTATGACTTTTATGGCATTATTTTCTTTGTATCTTCAATGGAGTTTTCTTTATTAATATTTTGCGTCAGATTTTAATTGCGTACACAGCTTTCTAACGATGACACAATATCAGAGAAAGAGTACACAAAAGGTTTCTCAATTTGAAAGAAGAGCATTCATGCCTCGGTTTTCATTCGCAATGACCGCTATGAAGTTATGGTGGCTCTTTCTTCGCCTCAAGTCAGCCCTCTTCTGTGAATACCCACCCAGGGAAACGTCTCATAACCCCCAGAGTTATCCACACATGCCTCCATCGTCCAATGACTTGTCTCCACGCGAAATATGATCTGAGGCTTCCCCATCCCAAGTGAAGTAGGTTCCCAGGCTACTCAAACCATACCAGAGACCACCGCAACGAGGCAAACCCCGGTAACTTTCATCGTTGGCTTGTTCTTATGGTGTCAGCTACACTCCCGCATTCGAAGTCTTGGCACGTACAATGCTTTTCGATTCTTACATCTTCTCTCCAAGATTATATCCTAGCCTGGTATCATCTTGTAAACTTGTCCTGATTTCTCTCACGTCCGTCCCAAAGAGCTGTATCCAGATTTTTGCAACACGAATTTTGTCCTCCTGTGGCTGTAAAGATCGGCGGGGCATTTATTTAGTGGTCAGTTGAGGCCAGAGAATAGTCGACAAGAGGCGTGGTCATTGAAATGAGGATGCACTAGGTCGTACCTGTAGACTTGATGAGGTTTTGGTCGAGATCAATCTCGCTAGGAGTGAGAGATTTATACGGTGGAGTGTGTCGAACTATTGCTTCGAGGATCAACTTCTTTGGTATTATGAAATATGACTGAACTTGGCTCTGGGAGAATATTTCACTTCCAGGTTCGTAGGCAAGGCTCACAGGACTTCTGTCTTTTCCCTCCTTATTATTAATTTGTCTACTTCATCAATGCCCTGCATGCTACATCACCTTGGCTAAAAGTAAATACTGATGTAACCAGCGCCTTTACAACATCATGAAATTACAATGTTCATACGACCAGGAGACAATTTAGATCATCTGTAAAGTCTAGTGACGTTACCTAACCAAGAAAGAAGCAACCAGCCTCATGGTCTCATTTTACCAACAAATAAAATAAAATCAGCTGCCGTTCGTCATGGTTAACAGATGTTTTCTTTCACCTATCGAAGTAGGCACAACTAGATTTCGGGTTATGAGACGAAGACTCAACAATTTTCAGCGGTGTCCCCCGTGAAATCCCACTTTACGCATTAGATTACACAGAGCTGAGATTGGGTCCCAGATTAGCCAGCATGATTTCTTTTATTAATGGCTAATTGATATTTATTAGCACCTGAGATAGCAGAGAGAAGCTAGGCTTGATTAATTTACAGTTTATAGTTTACAGTTTACACTCAACGTCATGGCTTTCCGACATACCAACACAAATTTTAATCTATCACGAGATGCGAAAGAATGGTGATTTCGATAATGGTCAATAAGGCTAGAGAATGATCTTCTTATACAATTGTCTGCATTACCCAGATATCAGGCTTCCTCAAACATATCAGCATGGTAGCTATCTCTTACAATTTAGTCCCGACGTCCAAGCTAGGGAAGCCCACACTTAGTCGTCTTTGGAGGGTTCCTCATCTGCCATGCACACACTTATTTTCTTCGATTCTTTCCTTTGAGAGCGAAACTAGTGGGCGGCTAAGGCACCTCTGAGTATATGATCAATTGGTGATTTGAGAAATTAGTAATGCTTAGTGGGAACCGTCAAAGTCAGAGAGTATTCACGGCCTGAGGCATAAACTTCTCGCCTCGTAGGTAGAGAATCCAAGAAATTCTATATATCATTTTTTTTTTAAATCATTTAATGTGTATTCAGCTATCTAGCTATCACACATAGCCGGTGCTATGTATACATGTTGGATGACTCTTTTGACGTTAGAGACACTCATACACTGGATTTCATTCGCAAATACCACTATGAGGTATGTTCGCTTAAACAAACAGTCGACCCTCCTCCGTAAGTACCCACCAAAGGGAATTTCGAAACCTTTGGTTATCCAAGCATTCCTTCGTCATCCATGCACACAAGCGCCGCGAGAGATGTGGTTGTGTTTTGCTGGATTTGAACTAGCGATCTACTGTCTCAAGTGGGATATGTGTCCAAGCTATCCAGACTCTACTTGGCAGACCGTCCAAGACAATATACCACCGCACCATCCAACCACGGCGGTGTTTATAGTGTCGCCTGCACTCTTGCAACCGAAGACTTGGCACGCACAAAGCTCAGTTTGTAAAAACTCCTTGCCAAAATTCAAAATTCCACGCCCGTCGAGACTATATTCATCCTTCGCATCATCTTGTTAACTTGTCCACAATCCTCTCACGCCAATCCCAAAGAACTGTCTCCCAGGTTTGTGCGCCACGCTTTGTGTCCTCCGTCGGGTGTAAATATCGGCGTGGGCTTGTATTTGGTGACCGGCTGAGGCTAGAGGAAGTCGACGAGAAGTGTGATCATTGGAATGAGGATGTACTAGGTCGTACTTGTAGACTTGATGAGGCTTAGGTAGGAATCGATTTCGTTGGGAGTGAAAATTTGACATGGTGGAGTAATTTGAATCATTGCCTTGAGGGCCAACTTCTTTGAAATTGCGAAATTTGACTGAACTTGGCTCCGGGAGAATATTTCACTCCCAGCTTCGTAGAGGACACCGCGTACAGATGTTCAGTCTTGCCCACCATTCTATATATCCATAGACTGGGAAAGTGAATAGAACCAATCAGTATGGCATGAGGAGGTGGGGTTGGCAGAAACACCATGTTTCACCAGAAGCTGTTCCTCCTACGACTGGCTACTGGATGACAGGGTATCTAGCTGCTGAGCCGCATCATCAACCAATGAAAATCAAATGACTCTCCGATCCCCCACAAGTCAAAGTAAGTGGGAGGACACCTGAGAAAAACAGAATGGGAGCAAATAGAAGCTTATCCAAATGTGCGTACAATGATCGACACGAGCTAGTTAACCCTTCTAAATTTATTACATACTTACTCCCCACCCCCCCATGTTTCTCGCGGCCCGGACGTGGAGTCAATCACCCGCTTGTGAGTTCCCTCGTTCGCCCGATATGGCACCGACTTTAACGATAGCAAATCTCCATCTGCTGGCTACTCAAGAATTTAATTCAAGTTACCCACCTCGTGGAGAATCTCAGCAATCGTTGCGACAATCATTGAAAATACGTCAATTTCAACCCGCTGGGCCTGCCCAGTCCATCGTTCCGGCTTCGTACAGTGATTCTGATACCGGGCTCGAACCTGGTGAGGTCGTAGGCATTGTAATCGGCTCAGTTGCTGCTGTCCTACTTCTTTGTTGGCTATTTAACTCACTCCTGAATCACAATAGCAAACGCAGTATCCGTCATTCAACCTTGGCGGCTGGGTCCCGGCGACACAAACATCGGCGTGGCCGCAAACGTTCTCACCGACGAACGGTAAAGAAAAAGTCTAGAACTCACCGCTCGTCTGAAGTTCACTCCAGGTCTGCGCCTATGGCTAGTCTAGATTATACGACTCCTTCCAGACCACCGATGACACCGCCCTTAGTGTACTCGGGCGCTCCGAGAAGAATGATGATTGAAGAGAGTGATCTTCACAATAGTCTCTCGCTACCCAACGATGAGATACATGTGCTAGAAGAACTTACATCTTCAAGTGATGAAATATCCGTATTCGAAGAACCACCCTCGCCTAGGCAGAAGGAAACTGGGTCTACTCATATCTACGAATAAACCAGGAGACAAGAAAGCATCATTCAGTCGATGATTATTTACAATCTACAGGAACTAGACCATCTTGGGATACGCATGCCTAGTAGTAAACCTTCTCCTGTCATGCCTTTTCACCATATAAGCGCATAAATATTTGATCAACTTAAAGATCTTTTAACTCCAATAGGGGTAATTCATAACGAGCAAATCACTTTGCTTGCCCAAGAAAAAGCGATAAGCCAATGAAAGTATCTATTCAGCATGACTCGGCACGGTACCTACTTCATTTGGTACAAAGGTCTACACCTCCAATCAAGGCTAACTTAAAGGCCCTATCTATAAAACACTCAATATGTCATGATACGTATGACCCGGAAACAAAATATACATGTCAGTAAACAAACGGACCAACAAAATCAATTCTCTTTGAAGTGAAGCTATCCTAGTCCCTCCAAGCTAGTAACACAAATAAAAAGTAGCTTCTAATCTTGCTCCTACCTTGATAAGGCCAGTTCGATAAAAGCATCAAGTTAGGCGTGTAGCTAGCCGAAACTAGTCATTTGTTTCACTAATTGGGTTAATCTCTACAGAGGCAAGCTTGTTTTGTGATATTCAGAATGAGCAATACTTTTTCGGTCCACGCTAAATTATCAGTGAAGAGGTTTCAATTTCCGCACCACCACCTAATATTCACTCTCTCTACAAGCCGAGAAACAAATTACCACAATGCTGAAGCTGAAACTAAACCTTTAAACCATTCCTAGTTGTACAGAGGCGTAAAGCCTTGATTAGAAAATAATTGCCTTCATAAAAAGATACAATAATATTGCTTTAAACTAAAATCAACAGACCAGATTGTGAGAAGGGACTTAACTTTTACTAAATACAAGATAAAAGTAATGAGATATATTTGCAATAATTTTTACGATAAATTTTTTCTACTTTCTCGATATTTTGTTGCCTCATGAATGCTGCAAGAAAACTAGCCAAGATTAGAGGATTTTCATCGCCTAATCTTATTTGAATCAGAGCCTAGTGTTACGGGCTGTGCCCCGTTCGATTAGGCTGGGCCTGTGAGATAGCCCAGCCTCGTTCAAGGACTTTAATCACGTGATACAACGTGGGGTCGTTTCTCATGATTCGAATCACTCAGTTAATTATGCTGAGGTTGGGAAACAGATCACTCAGTAGCGAAAGATTACGTGTCAGGAATCAAGATCACTGGTAGCTGTAGAGGGCAAATTTAATGTAGCAGATTTCCCGTAGTTAATCTCTATAGAAAAATATTAATTCCTTGTGGTACTGTTTACGTGCGATGTCCGTAATGCTCTTCGCCCTTAACACCTAGACTTTATCGGCTTGCAAAATTTTAATTTGAATTATCCTACAGTATGTTTCTCTAGTAAACATTGCCGTATGGCGAGCATATCGTTAAGTTTTTTTTCATGTAACCAATCAACCCCTCTACCGAGACTCGTCCGGAAGAAAAGCTCATCTACTGCCAAAGCCCTAATTTTTGGATACCGATGTATCAAATTCGAGGTGAGACGATTGATTGCCCAAGATCTCATTATAGCCTGATCGACTAGTCTATCCACATCAAGCAATGCTCCAAAAAGCTTTATTCCTGCCACAATCTTTTTAAAAATCTTGCTTTGATGGAGCACTTTATCAACTGCTTCAGACATAGGTGTAAAGTAAAGTAAAGCTTGTTGATGGAGAATTCCTCCACTAATGAGGAACGCAAGGACTTCAATTCCTGAGATAGTAAATCTTTCCACACCTGAATTTATTGCAAATATAAGAGCTTTAAAAACAAAACTCTCATTATTCACAGCTGATTCATCAAAGACATCATTCAGTACATTATCTTTAGCTAGACAAAATTCTACAAGAGCGTATCTCGAAGAACAAACAACTTCTTCAGTCGCGGTTTCAGCAGATACGGCTATATCTGCAATTAGTTCATTAAACTCGTGTTGAAAATTTTGAGGAGGAAATAAAGAACAGTGGGTATCGAGTAAACAGCGGAAAAAAACTTTGGATGATGTGGATAAAGGTTCAAGTTGATTATAGACGCAGAACCTCGGCACCTTCCCCGACCTAGAAATTAGTAACAATGTCTTTTTTGCCTCTAGACGTAATCGATCTAGTTTTGAAGATGCAAGACGAAGAATTCGAGGCATTAGTGAATCAAACATATCTTCTATTTGTTTACTGGAGTGCATGTCCTGACGAATAAAATCCTCATTCCAGATTGTCGCCGCTGTTCTAATTGATTCGATGCGTAGAAGCGAGCCAACATCACCCTGTGAAGTTATCGTGTAATCATCCAATCCTGCTTTTATCAAATCAATGTAATCGGTAGGAGATTCAAAAAATACGAAACTTCTCGCAAGATAGCGCATGATAATAACACGTGTGTCAATATCATCACGGGAATGCCACCTGGAGTAAATTGCGGAATGGAATTTTTCTTTCATACCATCCCTTGTTTCGCAAAAACTTTCATATAGTTTCACAGGAAATTTCAATATTGTTAGAATGTACGCCCTTCCGTTGCCTTTCCGCTCCGGTGCGATTTTTGCAAAGGCTATTTCCTGCCATTTATGAAACCAACCATTCTCTGGACCACATAAGAGACCGTAACTTGCAGCTGCCGTCGAAACCACATCTACTATCTCTTCATCAGCATCTCTTAAGAATCGATCTAATAAATCTTTGACAAGTCGCATAAAAGTATTTGGTGGCCTGACATTCAAATCGTAAGCTTCTAAAATTGTTTCATGCAACTCAACAATAGACGAAGGATCTCCTTTGCAGGAAGATTCCAACGAACAAAACGTCCTAGAAAGCTTTAAGAAGCAATTTTCATGAAGCGGATTCTTAACCCTATCATTAATAGCAGACAGAGAAAAGTCTGCCCGATGCCTTCCAGATTTTGTAATAGCTAGTTCTAAAAAGATCAAGAAGAGCCCTGAACTTATTAATTGGCCTACTGCTTCCGCTGTTAACTTCGGTGCTCTAAATTTAGCCTGGTTTGCTGTTATTTCTCGTAATATCAACATAACATGTCCTATGAGCATCTGTACAAAATTAAGCAGCCTCATTTCTGTAGATGAAAGTACCAAATCTTTCCACTCTTCATTTGATTCTGAGACTTGTGGGAGGAAATACTCCCAGTTATTACTTAAATTTTCATTATTCTCAGCATCATTTTTTTGGCCGTTGAGGTTATTTTGAAACTGCTTGATTAGAGCTGTAAATGATATAATTAGTCCATGACGTTCGTGGGCTTCTCTTTGGTCGAGCCGTAAAATCTCAAGTACTAAACGATTGGAAAAGCGAAGCATGACTGATTCAGTGTCTAAGTTAGGGGTTTTAAGCTGATTGAAACTGACCATTTCTCCAATTGTGTTGGCGGAAACTCGTCGGATAGAAATGACAGAATTTCGAATTCCTCGCCATCCCAATAGACCTTCAAGGATCTTGGTGTAATAATGATCAGAGAGTAGCGAGGCATTTAATGCGACTTCTCCAATAGCTCTAGCTCCGAGTGCGATAGAATGATAATCAATAACTTGTATGAGATCAATCCCTTTTTCGACAGTATCTGGATGTCTACCGACTAACTCCTGAAGTGCAGCAGACGAGCCTCTACGAATATTACCAACGGAATCTATGGTTGCTGAAGTAGCTAGTTCCGATGCTAGTTGTTGCAACGTAGTAACTGTCGTGATTGTGGAATCTAAAGTTTCAAGGTTCTTTTCTAGCACGATGCCCTGCAACTCAGCTGTAGTATATCGTCTTGCAAGGGCCCATAGACCAAAACAAGCAGCGTCGCGAACATTTATACCAACCGACGACCCCGATGTAGATGTCTGTTCAAATGTAAGTCCAAGTTGTAAGGCTGCTAAGACTGGGCTGAGGTTGTGTGGAGGAATTGAACGACGATAGATTAGATGTGATAGGGTCATGATAAGACCATGCCACTCCAACGAGTTAACTCGTGAAGCGTCCATTTTCCGATAATTTGAAGTTTTAATCGATAAACCTCTGATCTGAAAAGCGACTTTTCTTTCGTTTGGTATCTTACTGAATTTGGTAGAGTCAAGTAGCAGTTGGGTTGAACAAGTGTGACTTTGACCATGGGATTCGCTTAGTGCTGTCCATAAAATATTTTTCTTCATGGCAGCGAGAAGATCGTCAACAACTTCGTTAGCCATACTAGGTGGTAGTTTTGAAGTTATTATACTCAAAGCTTTGCTCGTAGCAAGCCTCACAGGTGTAGCGGCATCAGAAATAGAGTCTAGCATATGCCCAATAGCACCTTCTACGAGTTCAAAGTTGGAGAGATTATCTTGATCCTGTAACGAGATGAGGGCGATACGACAATAAATTTTTAGAATAAGTTTTCGAGCAACCGATAAATCATTGATCATTTTTAAAAGAGGTGTAGCTGAACTAGATATAACTTGAGAGGCTTCAAACAAGGATAGTAGATAATCTTGCATAATACCAGTACCAACAGATGAAGCGAGAAGACCTGCAAGAAAAGAGAGAACGCCTAGAATATGGTGAACACTCAAATTTGAGTTGGGTCGGAGTTGTGAAATAGCCCAGTTAATTAAGGTCGATGTGGTGCTGTTCTCTAGCATGTCCCTACGCGTAGAAAGTCGAACTAGAAGATATTTAGCAGCATCTTTTTCTTTTCCAGGTGTAGATAAATAATGTATAGCTAGTGGGATAATTCGTGTCACAAGGTCAGGAGATCCAACCGGCAAAGCAGGCAATAGAAGATCAGGTTGAGAAATACTGGTGGTATCAGATGATATAGAAGCCAGATCAAATGGTACTAGTAATAGTTGAGAAAGCCATAGCATGGTGATATAGATTTCCTCCCATTCCCAACATAGTTCCTTCACATTAGGACTGGCTTCCTCAGTAAATAGAAGAGCAGATTGTCGCTTCGGCGCCCATTTTTCCAGTGCGGATTGGAGTAGCTCAATATGTCTTACCTCAGTACTAAAGAGCTGAACGATGATCTTTTCACCTCTAACCTTGCAGAATCTATAGAGCAGACGAGATATAGCTTTGTAAACCGGTATAAAAAGATTCTGGGTTGAGATTGAAGAATTTTGAATTAGGGGTGTTTGCAGGCAAATTAGGAATGAGTCAGCTAACAAACAGACAAACTGCTCGAGATGAGGATCTAGAAGCTGAGGTGATTCCTGAAATGCATCAAGCTGAGCATGTCAGTAGAAGTATTAAGTTATAGCTTGGACTTCAACCTTGCTATGTATTTCTGAAAGGTCTCTATTCCGAATCCATTTGCGTAACTGCCTCTCCCCGGAATCACAGACCTCCCAAAGTAATGGGTGTAGGGATGCATGAAGATCTGAAATCAGACTAGCGGATGCCAGCTGCAGTTTGACGTCTTGATCTTCTTCAAGAGTATCCATGATGTGTAGTCAACTTGATTTCTTTTATTCTCTTTAAGTTTGGATACCTAATCATTATACCGAATACCTAAATGGGTTCGGATAGACCCTGCACGCAACGGTATCTAAATTTGATAGTTTTACGGAACAACCAATATTCCGGCACATCCCAGCACTGATATCTTCTTTGATGACCGCTGTTAACACCAGCGCTTTAGATAACCCATCACATTGATCGCACCAGCGCCTTGTGCAGCGGTGACGAAGTCTGATAACATGGTGGTGGTGTCAACCACGAATACTGGTGTGGGATAGATTACAAATTCGAGATAATTTACGAATATGGATGGGATAGGCGAGGTTCGACAGATTGTGGGCCTCAAAATATAGGTCGAAAATCAATCAGTAGAAATCTACCACAATACAAGAGCCAAAAGGATTTTGAAAGCTACTGCATCTCAAAAGTCCTTGAACACTTGAAAAGCTAGCCTACTTCTTCTTTCTATGTATTTTTGGACGGCCAGGCTGCATTTCAAGGGGCTAGATTATCCCCAATTTATACATCATATAGCCATCAAAGATGAATACTTCACATTCTAACGGTACGGTTGTAATCGCTCAGTATACTTTGCATATCTAGGATAGCTAGAAAATATCGCATCCAAGTCAAATTAGAAAGCAATATCAAGCAAATCTAAAATCGCCGGCTTCTCATCAATGTCGGTCTTGTCATTCTCTCGAGAGTCCCCAGGCGAAGTCTTACCGCATACAATCTCGCCTCAACTACCAATCAAGTAATTATTCCAATTACAGACGAGAGCTTGCCTCATCAATTACTGGCAAATAACCATTATCAACCCTAAGATGCTACGAATGCCCGCGAGAAGCAAATAAGTCTTAGTAAACAAGTCTCGGATCTAGATTATGGAGGACAGTAGCTCCAGTGGGACTTTACAACTTGAGAAAGGACAGGCCAGTGCGACATTGAATGAGAGAGATAAGAGGATATCAGTGGGCATGCTGGAACAAACTTTATTGAGAGATTTTCTGTTGAAATTAGATGAGTAACATGACTGCATTACAATGAACTGTTCTCGTTAGAATAATGTGCACATGCGTCACAAGATATGATTGACCTAGATCATCACCCATTGATGTGACATAGTATTTCCCAAAATATTCCTAGTGGTATCTATTGGCGCAAGGTTCCGTGGAAAAGGTGGCTGAATTCCCCGGGTAAATACTGAACTGAATGGCTACTCATCACGGACAGTATCTCAATGATCTTTCATGTAACAAAAGAGGGTAGGAGAACTGTACAAGATGTGGCCTGGGTCAGAGAGAAGCCCAATGTGCTAGATAGTCATAGACTCAAACATTACAGTGATCACTTCACTCTACGCCTGCAAAAAATCATCGTTTAGTTGGCTGAAAAGGGGTGATAATGTAGGAAAAAGGGCTCCTCTTTGGGTATGACCTAATGGGGACTTTTAAGCGGTGGTACTGTTTGTGGGGAGATGTGTGGAAGTGTGGCACCAGAATAAATGGTTGTTCGCACGAGTGTATCTAAATAGGGAATCTTCAAGGGCCATCAAGAGGTATATGCCGGCAAATATGAATTCTTCACCTTCCAGTGGTGCCGGTGTAATCGCTCAGTATGCTCTGCATGTCTGGGATAGCCAGGAAGAATCGCATCCAAATCGAAGTCGAAAGCATATTTAATATCGACAACTTATCGTCAATGTCCGACCTATCATTCTCACGCGAGTCCTCCTCAATCTTACCACACCAACTCGCCTTAAATACTGATAATGGCGTTACTTCAATTGCAATCTGGCATTTGCCTCATCAAAAACCAGCCATCTCCCACTACATATTTACTATGCTATATATACCCGCGAGGAGGAATTCAAGTCATAATCTACAAAGCCCGGGTGTTGGTCTATGGGGGACCTTTGCTCTAATGGGGCTTCACATCTTGAGGGAGGACAAGCAGCTGGGACGTGGGACGAACGTGTGAAGAGGTCACAAATGGGCATGATGGGACGCACATTTTTCGGGTGTCTTCGACTTAAGATTTTGTGTGGGTGCAGAAGCAACGATTTTGGATAGTGCAACCGACACTCTAAAAATAGGCAACGATGAAAGGTGTTTTGGTCCGCCTCCTGGTCGTCATCTCCCCGAAATTAAAGTCCGAGTAGCCTGGACACCTACCTCACTCGAGAAAGGGTGGACTGTGAGGCCATATCTCGCGCGGCGACTATACACAAGATGGCAAAGGCATGTTAGGGTAGCCAAAGGTTTTTCATGTTTTCCCTTTGGCGGATATTAAGGGGTGAGGGAAGGGTGAAAGTCCCTAGCACCAAGATCTCGAGTGGTATAAGCGAATGCACCCACTACATGATTAGTCCAGATTTCAAACTGAGTTATCGTCGTATATAGTCGCCTGGGAAGCTGGTCTTCTCCGTGTGATGCTCTTTGAGTGCAGAGCTTGTGCCCGTCACGAATAAATTTTCATCATCACCATCATCAAGAAGTATATGACAATAAGGGATCACCCAAAAAACTTGTCTCGCTTATCGCTGGCATAATTAATTCATTGTGGCCGGGTGAACTGCGGATTCTCTTTACATTGCAACAGTTTGAAATGTGCTGTCCTGGAGGCAGAGGAGGGAATATGTCACCTGAAAAGTATCCTTGGCCCGTAGAAAAAAAGAAGCTGCATATTAAGCAGTCATATATTCATTAGGAAAATAATTACCAACTGGTTACCGAAAAATACTCCCACAGTCATCAGATTGTAGAGCACGTTCCAAAAGTACCTGCCGAAGTGAAAAAAGTATATGATTCATAGTTATGTGTGTGTCAAAAACTTGATGTAGATGAAAGCTTCAATTATTCTAACTGCTAAAAAGTTGTAACAAACTCCACATGAGGATCCATAGTGGTTCGCTTACTCAATTCATAGTAAGTTGAAGTAATTTATTGCAATTCTAGTTCAAACGTAAGATTAGTTCAGTTGGCAATATACGCCTCGATATTCTCTCATTTTAAAACCAAACGGATTTCTCGATTCAAGGACATGTAAATATTGTGGCCTAATGGATGTGTTGATTGATAGGTTAGATGTAGCTCTTACATGGCACGTGGAATTGGCAATGAGCTTTTACAAATTGTCACATGGTAGTATTTATCTGATAATGATTCGCTGATATACTTTGTCTTTGTTAATTTACTTCAGCCATGTCGAAGTGACTGAACTGATGAGCATGTTTAGCTGCCTGTTGTTCTCCGTAGACAATTATCCCACAAATATTGCACTTAATCTTTAAGCTAGCCGTATCAGTATAGTATTTCTTCGCTTTCAGCTTTCTACATAGCTCAAGAGCTGCATCTAAAATCTGGTTGTCATCGCTGTTCCAAACTCGCTGATCAAATTCAGGAGGGTGCTGTGATCTAGTATGAGGTGGATCAGACGGAGTTTGGGCAATGGTATCATAATGAATCCCCGAATAGACGAGAATACACCGAGTAGGCCGTCCTTCGTTAAATCTGTCGATACGCAAGGACTTTCATAAATGGGTTATTTAAGTGGTTTATTATCATAAAGGAATTCTTACCTGAACGTCAATACTGCACACTTCAATGTCGAAGTGTTTCGCCAAAATAATGAGTTCAATGGCGCCACCCCAGGCATCAGGGCTTTGTATCCATCGGCAATATTCATCGGGGCTTTTCTCTAAAACTACTTTTGTGTATGTGCTACGCTCGGCCTGAATAACGCTTGCAATAAGAGCTCGTAGTTCTGTCATAGTCTTATCGTCTGTCGGAATAACGGCTGATCCAAATGCCCTGAAAAGACAGCTATTGTCATCCGGCATAATACGGAGAACTTTTGCCTAATATTAGAGTCTTGATTCTCCTGATGACCAGTCACATACCCAATGTAGCCCCTCTTTCAGGTATAGGGATTTCTGGAGAATCGCCCTCAATTCCCTTCTGCCTGATGGACGTAAATTTATCTACTTTACCCTGGAATTTTGATACAGTTGATTGTGTAGAGTTAGTGATCTTTTCGGCCTTGTTCGATAGAGCAGTGATTCCTGGGGCTGGAATATCGGCTTGGATGTTCTCATCACTCCTTGTTGATTCTCGAGTGCTGATAATTAGCTGCTCTCCATCTAGCTCGACACTTAATTGAAGTAAAGGGAGAGAACTGTCAAATTGCAATAAATCAAGGGTCCTAAGAGGGTATCCAAATCTGACCTCGAAATCATTGATTTTCGTTTTTTCGGTGATGATTTCAATCAGATTTCCAACAGTTGATTTATCTGAGAGAGAAGCTATTGAAGCTCCCTGGGGACCTCTAATTTGGATTCGCATATCGATGTATAATAAGTAAAAGCGAATCTGGGCTGACACCTATTCGTTGTTTGAACGTCATTTACCTATCGGTCAGTTTTTTTTAGCCAGCACGATATGAATATGGCTGAAAATTCTTATCATTGTTTGCATAGGAGTTAAGGTGCCGTTCATGCATTTGGATGTCATGACGTTACAACATATATATGTCATTACCTTAACGTCGCGGTCAACTGGCGTGACTGCAAGGCTGCGGTTAGTTGTGGAAGGCTTTCTGCAAATATAATTGCCATTCGCATTTTAACCTGACTGCCAGCACATCCGATAAGTTCGGAAGCTCAACAGAGAAGTTACATTCAAATATAGAAGGCTTATCGTCGCAAATGGAAGATACTTCGGATTCAGCTCCTTCTAAAAACTTAGGTGCAGAGGTAGCGATTAACAATGTCAACGTACCTATGCCTTCGTTTTCAAATCTGGCTATGTCCTCACAATTAAAGAAGGAATCTGAAATAATGAATAGCATTCTCTACCGCATTACTAACTATCGTGACGCAGAGTAGGTAGCGACTAGACCACAATTTGCTCAAAAGCCTTTCTAATATCTTCTAGCGGCCATGATGTTTCAAAGGATTTTCAGCGATTAGTAAACAAAAGAGTTCTACCTGATTATTTCGACATCATCAAGGAACCTATGGCATTCAGTACCATAAGGGTAAGTATCACGAATTAGAAAGCTTGCAAATTGCTAGCTGAAACATAACCAGAGTAAGATTGTCAAGAAACAATATACAGGCTTTAAAGGATTTGTTCGAGATTTTGCTCTTATATCACATAACGCTCAGGTCTACAATCGTCCGTCAGCATTAGTTTATGGCGACTCACTAGCGCTACTCGAACTTTTCAAAACTGAGCTACAAAAATTAGTTGACGCGGGAACCATAAGTCCAGAAGATGCCGAAATTCCTTATCTCGGTGAGATTCCGGAGGTTGAAGATTCCTCGCCAAGAGACCTAAATGATGAAGAAGCTGAGGCTGAAGAGGAAGATGAAGATGACGATGATGTCGAAGAGACTGACGATGAGAGAAACCAGAGCAGTCGTGGGAAAAGACAGAACTACTCGATAGCTAACAAAGGCATTAAGATAGAAGATGAAACCAGAGATGATCCAGAGTCTTTGAAGAAACGTGGGCGACCACCTAAGGTGCACACTCCGATGGAAGCCCGAATTGATAATATACTCAAAGGTTTGAGAAAGTTCAAAAATCCCAACGGAGAAAATAAAATTCTTCCCTTCGAGAAGCTTCCTGATAAAACGATAATGCCTGAATACTATCAAGAGATCAAGCAACCTGTTGCCTTAGATTTGATAAAGAGAAAGGCCAAGCGTAAAAAGTATAACTCAGTGGACCAACTCTTAAAAGATATAGATCTTATGTTTGAGAATGCTAAGCTATACAACCTCGAGGAAAGTCAAGTTTATAAAGATGCCGTATACCTAAAAGAGGAAGTTAAAATTATTGCCGAAGAAGAAAAAAATAAGCCAGACAGCGATTTTGCTGACGAAGACGGAAGGCTTCCATTATCTGCGATATTTCACAATGGCGAATCTTGGAAAGTCGGGGACTGGATCCACCTGGCGAATCCAAACGACGTCACCAAACCTATCGTTGCCCAAATATATCGAACTTGGCAAGGTCCCGATGGACTTAAATGGATAAATGCCTGCTGGTATTATCGCCCTGAACAAACAGTACATAACTACGAGAAGCATTTTTTTGAACACGAAGTTATGAAGACAAGTCAATATCGAGACCATAGGATTGAGGAAGTAATTGATCGATGCTTTGTCATGTTTTTTACACGTTACAATAAGGGCCGCCCCCGTGGGCTCCCTCCTAATAAAGCAGTCTACATCTGTGAAGCCCGATATAACGAGGAGACGTTCAAATTAAATAAAATAAAGACCTGGGCCAGCTGTATTCCCGATGAAGTTAGAGAAAAGGATTATGAGATGGATCTTTTCGATACACCCAAAAAATTGAAAAAGGTTCCCAGTCCAATCAAGCATTTGCTCCGAGAAGATGCTAAAGAGAACGATCCTCTGCCAAAACCTACCTGGGGTGGCGCGAATGCCCCTCCAATAGTTGGTGCTGTTCATAAGATACCTCGTGGGCCAAACGTAAGGCTTTTTATATGCAATCTCCTTAACCTTACTAACACTATCGTAGGAATCGCCGCCTCCTGAAAAAATACCTACACCGCCTCCTCCAGAATTAATACGTCGATCCTTCACTACCGAACGACCTCGAGCTGAGAATCAAGGGGATATTTCAATGACAGGCCTTGGGGTATCATCTAGTATTCTTCCAGCAGCTGTTAAGCATGGCGTGAGCAACACGTCCTACAATAATCAAACCACATTAACTCGAGCTACTCCTTCACCCGTGGTGGCCCAACCAACTCCATACATCCCTCATGCAAGCACGACCCAAGCTCCAACAATTCCTGCAAAGGTTTATCAGAATCAATCTACTAATAGTCACAACCAATACACACCTATCCCGCCACTTGTACCACAACCAACTAAACCTTTGAACGTTTACAGCCATTATCAGAATAGTAATCCAAAACCAAGTCCTATTCCTGCTCCAATCAACTCTTACAATCAACATTCTAATCTTTACAATCCAACCCACTCTGTTGAGGTATATACTTTACCTGATACTACTAACTCATCTATCCCTGCCGATATCCGCGACCAATTTCACAAAGATGACTCTGGCCGTGTAATATTTTTCACAACACCACCGATCGATGTTAATCCTATTATTGAGGAAACTCAGGTCCTATGCCATAGCTTAAAATATCTCGCTGATAAAGCTCGTCGGCGAGATGAAGACAATAAAAAACGTAAAGCTAGAGAAAGTAACCTAGAATTCATAAGTGAAGAAAACTCTCAAAGATTTAGGACAAATAAAAACTGCACAGAGAATTATATTGCACAGCAAGGAATTACTGCTATAAAGAATTGGAGCCTTGAGCTTGAGAAGGAAACAGCTAAATTGTACGACCACTTGATTGATTAAAATTACCGACCAAGTATTAAATCGCACAAATTAAGTGAAGTGAAACATTTTCAATTTTATCTGCAGATCCTTATTTTTGGTACTCTCCATTAAATCAAGAAGTATTTGGATTGTATCAGATTTATGTCTCCATTTTTCACCGAGATTGACCCATACGCGTTTTTAAGAACTTGAGCGTTTCTACAGAAATGAAGTACTGCGCTATAATTTCCACATCTTCACTAATTAGCCCTTAATTTTAATTGAATTTAACCCAAGGTGTCGGTAAACTTCAATTATATAACTGTACAAAGTTCCATAGGTAAAATCTATTCTGTTCTAACTTTCTATCTAGCTACGTATGAAATGAGGTAGTTTAGTGATCCCTGATCGCCGACTAAGTTGTTATGTGATTGGTGCTTTATAGGCTTGCCACCATTCTAACTGCACAAGAAGCTAAAAGTTTGCTCTCATATCTATTGCTGAAATTTTCCTGTACCCCTGTTTTTAGTTTTCTTCTCGACTTTCAATGCCTGAAAGTCTCTAATCTATGAAGGCACTGATCACGACAGCTGTTCGCACAGGCGAATCCAAAACAATTTTTTTTTAAAGCGAGAACTAGATAAGCTACACAATTGAGTAATTATTAGGCTTTACGAAAGTCATCCCTAACTTGACTATCCAAGGAGGTCCCGTGAATAATCCTTACAAATGGAATCAGATAAGTTCGATTTTAACTCTACAAGGCTGTTAGCCTATAACATGATCTCAGGACTCCATTTAAATGACTTCGTACTTGACCTTAAACAAACAATGTCACACTCATGGGTATCCCAGGGTACAGAAGAAATAACTCGATTCCTCGGCACCGCTCTGTAGGCAGGATATCATTTTTATTACAAGCACCCATTTAATTGGCCTAGTTTATGGCTCTATATCTAAAGATATTGAACATTAATTGTGACTAGATAAAAACTTACTGTTGATTTCCTGTCCTTTTTTTTGCATCAGATTTTGATTGCGTATGCAGCTATCTAGCTATGACACAATATCAAAAAAAATTACAGAATAGATAATTCAACGGAAGGGAAGAGCACTCATGCCTTGGATTTCATTTGCAAGTACCACTGCGAAGTTATGGCGGCTTTTTCTTCATCCCAAGTCAATCCTTATCCGTGAATACCCACCCAGGGGAACGTCTCAAAAACCCTGAGTTATCCAGACATGCCTCCGTCATCCATCAACTTTTATCCGCTCGAAATGTGATCTGAGATGTCTCCTTCTCAAGTGGAGTAGGTGCCCAGGATACTCAAACCATACCAGAGAACACCACCAGGAGGCGGACCACAACACCTTCCATCGTTTGCTTGTGTTTATAGTGTCAGCTGCACTCTCGCAAACGAAGTCTTGGCGCGCACAAAGCCCAATTCGTGACACTCTTGCCAAAATTCAAAATCACACGCCCGTCGAGTTTGTATCCCTCTTCTGCATCATCTTGTAAACTTGTCCTGATCCCTCTCACGTCTATCCCAAAGAACTGTCTCCCAGATTTGTGTGCCACGCTTTGCTTCCTCCGTCGGGTGTAAATATCGGCGTGGGCATGTATTTGGTGGTCAACTGAGGCCAGAGAAGGTCGAAGAGTGGTGTGGTCATTGGGATGAGGATATACTAGGTCGTACTTGTAGACTTGATGAGACTTAGGTATGAGTCAAACTCGTTGGGAGTGAGAAAACGACGAGGAGTAAATTGAGTCAGTGCCTCGTGGGCCAACTTCTTTGATATTGCGAAATTTGACTGGACTTAGCTCTGGGAGAATATTTCACTCCCAGATTCGTAGAGGACACCGCGTACAGGTGTTCAGTCTTGCCCTCCGCCTCTAGAGCACGTGTAGCTACCCACGTTAGGGTCTCCAACACTATCTCCATCACCGTACTCTTTAATGAAGCTTTTGAACGCACCAGTTAGCACAAGATTTTCTCGGGGTTCCAATGTGGTTTCTGTTGAAGCTTTGTCGTGGAGTGATAGATATGAGAGTGAGGTTTATGGGTCACGATGTATGAGATAACTGAGGTGCGGATGTATGAGTTCCTTACTATTGTTGTTGTACTAGTTAGGGTTGTATTGTCTATATACATAAAAGGATTTCTCCATCTACAAGTGGGCCAGATCGCTTAGATCTGGCTAGCGGCTTTCGCCATCCTCTTCCTTCTCCCCCGCATGGCATCACGTGCTTTACAACTACTGCTCACCATGGAGTCCGAGGATGAAAAGCGTTAGATTACAACAGTTTCTTTGTAGCCCGTCCACTTGACGCAGACGAACCTTTATCCTCCAAATGATTTAGCTTTCAGTACTTTCTCTACTCCATATAGAGGGTGTTTTCCGTCTAGAAGTGGCGGAGGTTGGCTATCATCGGTGACTTGGGAGGGTAGCGGATCATCTGAATCTCTGCGTAGTAGATCAACAAAGAATTTGGGGTGAATGTTACTTGGCACATCAAGTTCGTAGACATCAGGAGCCATTTCGTGCGTTATTTTACATTTGGCATTTATCCAAGACAATTTTTTCTTGAGCTGCGGAGTGGTTACGTTTTTTAAATTTAACCACAATTTATCTCCCACTATTAACTTTTTCAGCCGGTCTTCGTCCTCTATTTACATTGTGCTCCATAATTTGCTGGACTGTTGTCATTGCAGCTTTTGCAAATTCCTCACCCTCATGCAGGCGGTTGATTAAGGCGTTGGCTCTTACTTTTGGGGTTGTACCTGGGCTAGATGGTGGATAACGGCGCTGAATAGGTTCAAGATGATAACCATGAGTTAAGTAAAATGGATTGAAATAGGTTCTTGAGCTTGTTCTGTTATTTATAGCGACCATTGCAGATGGGAGAAGTTTGGCCCAGTCATTTTGGGCATGATAAATATAAGCGCGGAGGTATGTTAGCACTTCTTGATTCATTCTCTCGGTACCTCCATCTATCTGCGGATGAAATGCTGTTGACAGTCGCTGTTGGATACCTACACACTGACAAAGCCTCTTCCAAAAGTGACCGACCCAGCTAGAGCTTTTGTCTGATGTTAGAGAGTTAGGAAAGCTATGATAACGCCAATGGCTCAGAATAAAATTTTCTGCACAAGCTTCTGCTTCCATTGTCTCCATGGCTTCTAATATAGCACTACCAAGGAGCCTATCATATATAACCATAAGAAATCTTTCCTTGTTATCTGTTGTAGGTAAGTCGGTCATGAAGTTTATGGCTAACTCGCTGTGAAATCGTTCTGGTATTGGCAGTGGTCGCAGCAAACCACTCGAAGACTGACGCTAAACTTTTGATCTACCGCATATGTGGCAATTCCTCACAAATCCTTTAACATCCTTGTATTGCTGAGGCTAGAGAAAGCTTCGTGAGAGAATAGATAATGTTATTTCCCGGCCTGGATGGCCTATCATATGAGGATTATGCACTTTTTGAATTAATATAGTGCGTAGAGGTTCCCAGTTTGGGACCCACAAGGCGCCACGGTACATTAAAGCGTGTCTCTCATCGAAAGAACAATCTGTTATTTGCATCGAGTTTCCAGTAGAATTTGGAAGCGCGCGGTCCTCATTTTCTAGGCTTGTATAAACGTCAAGGAAAAGAGTGTCTTCCTTTATTACTTCATTCCAAAGCTTTTGCATTTCGAGCTCTTTAAACAGTTGATTTTCTTTTGGGGGACCTTTGGGGGATGAGCGGGGGCTGGATGACTGGTTAATAGGCTTGGACGGAGCTTTTTCTATAACTTCTTCCCGGGGCCTAACTTGTTGTCAAGTAACCACTGCTGAGAGGCTTAGGGAAGACGAAAATTCTTCTTCATAACTGGGTGATAACCAGTTGATCTTTAGGAGTTTAAATTCTATTTTTCGAAAAATTTCGTCACTGAAATCTTTAGGCTTGTACTCAGCTTTTCTAGAAAGGAGATCAGGCTTTGCAGAATCTGAGCCCGATCTAGATTTTATCTTAAAATTGAAACCTGAGATTTCTTCTGCCCATCGGACTTGGCGTTCTAATAGCTGGCGCATTATCATGAAATGCTGCAAATTTCGATTATCAGTTAGGATGATGAAAGGTTTACTAACGCTCCTAAGTTCACCTCTGAAGTATCTCATAGTAGCAACAATAGATAACAGTTCTTTATCGTAAATTTCATAGTTAGCTTCGGCCGGCAACAATTTTCTGGAGAAGCCCACAGGTCGAAGGCGGCCCTTTTTGTCTACTTGTGACAATACTCCACCAATAGCATAACCTGATGAGTCCGCTTCCAACACGGTATCGGCTTCAGAATCAAACATCGTGAGGACTGGTGTGATCATTAGCAACTCCTTTAATCGCATAAATGCATCCTTTTGAAGTTTATACCATCGCCATAGCACACCTCGCTTGGTTAGATTATTGAGTGGTTCACATATTGAAGAGAAGCGAGGAATAAATTCTCGGTTAAAAATTCGAGAACCCAAGAAAGGAGCGTACATGTGACACATTATTTGGCTCCTCCCACTCAGAAATTGCCTGCACCTCATCAGGGTCTACTTTGACGCCGACCCATGCCTCGATGATGAAACCTAAGTATTTTATTATCATTACCCCAAAAGCACACTTTCGAGGTCTAACCGCAGACCAGCTGTCTTGAGTGCATTCATCACTTTAGATACTTTCTGGTAATGGTCTTCTAAGTCCCCGTCTGAATAGACTATGACATCATCAACATATGCTGAGCAGAATATATCTAGAAATTCCTGCAGGGTGCTATTAATGAAACGTTGAAATGTTGCCGGAGCTCCACACAATCCGAAAGGAAAAACCAGCCACTCAAATAAGCCTTGACGCAAGCGAAAGGCCGTTTTCCATTCATCTCCTTCCTTGATCCGTAGACGGCGGAACGCAGTGCGAACGTCGACTTTAGTGAACCAACGGGCTTTAGTTAATTGTCGTAGTGTCTCTCGAATCAGAAGGAGATAACGATATTTTTTTGTGATCGCATGAA